CAATGACATGGATGGTAAGAAAACCTAAGTCTGATATATGTGAGAACCTGGTAACGTGGCTACTTCCCGGAATCATGTATTCCCCCTCCACATAATGAGCTGAAGGATATCCAAGTCCGTCTTCACGGATAGCTGCTGTGTCCAGACCCTGACACCAGCTGGCTCCGACGCTCAGTCTGCTGCTCACATGTGTTGCTTTTGGAGCATGTGTGACAATAGCATTGAACACAACACAGTTCAAATGTGTGTTCTCTTCTTTCCTAAAGGAGGGTCATGGCAATAAAATCTTTACAACATGTTCCCTAAACATGTTGACATAAACAAGCAACTCGTTTTTTAAATGCAGTACTTCCCATTCTTTTAATCCATGTTCTGGATTATGTTGTGTTTAAAACAAAGTTCATCTTTGGGATATACTCTCAGCTACCCTCTAGAAATCACACACATATACACAGTGTAAACACACACACACACACACACACGCATGCACGCACGCACGCACACACACACTCGCTGGAACACTGGACTGTGCTGTAATAAAAATGCCATAGGGGGATTTTAAGAGATGCTATGTCCTTTAAGACATTCGTTTCTGTCCCCCTTTGTTTTCTGTTGCTATGGTAAAACACTGACCAAAACCAGCCTGGGGTGGGAGAGGGTTTATTTGGCTAACACAGAGTCCAACTTCGAAGGAAGTCAGGGCAGGTACTTATGCAGGAACCTGAAAGCAGAAACTTAAGCAGAGACCGTGGAGGAATGCTGTTTCCTAGTGTGCTCAGTTGGTTTTTTAAAAAAAATCCAAGACCACCTGCTCATGAATAGTGCCACCCTCCAAAAGCAGTTTTGAAATGTCTTACATAAATGTCACGTCCACTGGCCAGTCTGATGAAGGTAACTCCTCAAGTGAGTTTTCTTCTTCTCAGGCAACTTTAATTTGTGTCGAGTTCATTAAAACTAACCAGAGCAATTCCCCTTGGACATGAAGAACATACCCTTATTCTGATTTCTTATACAATACCTAGCTGATGCATAGGAGGTTAAGTGGCATTGAAATTCAATGCCACAGAGAAATAAATATTCTCTGGTACTGGCTTATGGGGCCTTCACCCAAGTGCTATTATACATAACTTAGGTGACTGAGAGTTATCATTTGATCAGTGACTTCACAATTTCTCACCATAGATGCCATCCCCTAATGGAATATGGAAAGAATTCTATTTTGATTAACTACTATCCATTCCAAATATCCATGAATATTTAATCTCTTTTATAAGTGATATACCCTCTGTTTCTATTTAAATTAAGTTTTTTAAAACAGAAATTGATATGATCAATTTACTACAGGTAACCTTTGACCCAGCCCCCTTGGAAAATCTAAAGTACCTGACATTATACATGTATGTCTTATTTCCCTTTAAAGAAAAATTATGAGAAAAATTGTAAACATTGTTATTGAATGTTTTACAATAAGATGAGCCAAAAATAGTGAGCGGAAGTGGGATTACTGAAACTTAAAAGAACGCTTAAGAAAGATGGAAGAGTCATTGAAAATGTTTTTTTTTTATTTTCAGGAAAAAAGTCATAATTAATGGATAGAAAGAGGCTAGCAAAGAAGCTAACTTGGATGGTGGTAGCGTTGATGAAAATATGAGAAAATGGGGGATTCTTAAGAAGATGTTTAAGAAATGGATCTTAAAAACTTGGCAGTTGTTTAGGCGCGGGTAGCAATACACAGGTTTGGTAACGATTATTGCAGCCAGCTACTTTAGTGGGGACATGAGATGACCATCTGGATACGTGTGAGATTCAGGGAGCTCTGATTCTGGGAACATGCTGACGTCACCCCAGTGTAGCCACCAATGACAAGAAGGTGGTTAGTATAAAGGGAAACTATTTGGGACATTTAGCATAGTTGGAAAAATGAGGGTGGGTGAGACCTCTCTAGACAGTGTATAGACCGACGGCAGCAGAGAACTCAGGGGAAATATTTTCAGCACACACACTCTGGCCAGACAAAGGTTGAGAAAGCAAACGACTAATAAGACACTCATCAATGTGTGGTAGTGTAACTGACTACTAATAACAGTTCCCTGGACTGTGTGACGATCACCACACCAAGTACTGCCTCTTGTAATTTCTCAGTTGTGAAATGAACAGCTACAGAAGAATTTGCCCTCTTGAACACGAGGGGGCGATGTGGGATTTTCTGTAAAATACCTGTGCAGCTTAAAGAGCAGGCACAAATCCACATTTGGAAAGATTCATCAGATTTGAGGATGCTCCTCGTGAGAGAAATTAAAAGATTGAGTCAAGATATCTGAAGAGCTAGTTAAATAAAAGTTATTGGGAGGTGATTTTCGATTTTGCCAACCACAAAGCATCTTCCATAGATGTGGAACCCAAAATCAATTGTTCTAGTCACTCATGACCGATAAGGAAGTGATCAACACTATCCATCTCTTTGACTAAACATTGTACTGATTTTGCAGTTAATGGAACAAGAAGAGAGTGTAGCACAAATTGTAATAGGTCTTCCTAATAAAAACCCAGAGTCAGCTATCAGGGTAAATGCTGAAGGTCAGAGAAGTAAAGCAGCAGTCACAAGAGAGGCCTCTTACCCCTACTGAATCCTCAGGCCAAAGGGCGATCCCGTCCCTATGAATTCTCAGACTGAATGCCATGAGCTCCTGTCTCCCCCCTCTATAATTCCTGTCTCTATCCAGCTGTACCACTCCTGTTTCTGTCTCCTTAGCACTGGGATTAAAGGTGTGAGCCACCACCATCTGGCTCTGTTTCTCTTTTAGACTGAATTGATTTCATGTATCCCAGGATGGCCTTGTATTCACAGAGATCTGTCTGCCTCTGTTTCCTGAGTGCTGGGATTAAAGGTATGGTGCCCCCACTGTCCGGTCTCTATGGCTAACCAGTGTGGGTAGCTCTGTACTCTGATCTTCAGGCAAGCTTTATTTGTTACAACACAAACAAAATATCACCACAAGAAAGGTGGCCACAAGAAGCGGGGGAAAGAAAAGTAACTGCTGAAAGATGAAGTTTAGAGAGACAGAGAAAGCACCAAAATAAGTGAAAATCTACACTATGGTCACAAATAAATGAGCCCAGTAGGGAGAATACGCAGTCTTAGCAATATCATTTAAATATTCAGAACAACACTAATTGCAAAATTAGGGGAAATTTCTGTAAAATTTGGAAAAGTCTAAAATTTAATTGGAAAGGGGAAGAGTATGTATAGGGAAGGTAATAATGGAGAACTATAAGCAAAGTAGTTTGCCCTATGGTTGTCAAGTTATTTTTGCAACAATGACAGTGAAAGAAACATAGATGATGAATGCAAATAACTAAAATAGCAAAATAGGCATTTATAGATGAATTTAATATACGAAAGAAATGTCACTGCAGCTCTAGGAGGGAGTAGTGTAACATCCAAAGAATTATTCTAGAGTAAGTGGTTTGCCCCTACAATGAATGATGAATTTAAACCTTTCTTCATGGGCATAAAACAAAATAAATCACAAATTGATTAAGTGCTTAAATGTAAAACTCAAAGTGTCAAGTGTCTTGGTAGGTAATCTAGTAGATATTCACAACGTTGATTTTGGAGAATTTCTTATAAATAGTACAAGCATGTGTGTACCCCCAAAGATTAGTAATTCTACTACATTAAGAAATGTAACAAAATTCATTGCAAAGAGAGTATAAATACAAATCATAAATGGGAAGATAAGCAAGACAGACATCCAAGAAATGATTAGTAGCCAGGAGATCCAGTCAACTCCTGGGTAAATAAGAGCTAATCAGTCAAAAAACGAATGTGGGCATAGGACCATTTCTAGGACATACAGATAGTCTGTGAATCTAAAAGATACCCAATCTCAGGTATGAATATACATTAAAATTACTTTTTACCATGAGGCACAATTTTAGCTTAATAGACAAAATTAGAAAACTACTGAGCATCAGTTATAGCCCTGAGTGTGGCTCATTAAAAACACCAATAAACTGTTGGCAGAATTGTTTGGTTTAATCATTTCAGAAAGGATTTTGCCATATTATGTAAAACTGATGTGGCTGTTTGTATGTGCCCAAGGTCAGAGAAAAATCTTGCCATATGTAGAAATCCGGACATGTGTACAAGACACGTAGAATATTGTTTGTAGCAGCACAAAACCTGCTGTAAGAGAGAAGTACACCACATGAGTACAGTGGAATGCTAAGTATGAAGGGGAATGAATTATCTCCAGTTGTACATATCAAAATGAATCTGAATGGAAAATAACATCCTAGAAAATACAAACAGGATAACTCCTCTTAGATACATCTAAATTACATACATGAGTGCATGACATAATTCAATATTCATATATATATATATACATACATATGTATATATATATATATATATATATATATATTGGTTTTTACGAGACAGGGTTTCTCTGTATTGTTTTGGAGGCTATCGGTCCAGCCTGGCCTCGAACTCACAGAGATCCGCCTGCCTCTGCCTCCCGAGTGCTGGGATTAAAGGCGTGCGCCACCACCGCCCGGCTATGTATATATATTAAACACAATAAAGAAAGCAAATGACAAGTGTAAGCTTCAGTGGTTCAGCCTTCTGGACACTAATGGAGTGTGGTGAAATCTAAGAACAGTACAGATCAAAACTTCTCAGTCATAATTCTTCTCTTCAGCTCACTGGTTAAGCCACGGCATTGTTTTATTAGTGCTCTAACTACATTGCATATTTGTCTAAATAGTTTTGTGAGTTTCAATATTTATATCTCTAAAGGAGCTACCACATGGGGTTTTGAGTGTGGCAAGAGCTACTATAATCCTTACCCAGGAAACATCCAGGTTCATTTCCCACAGTGAAATGGAGAAAGGTCATTAAGTTAAAAAAAATCACGTAAATGAATAACATATGAACGACTTCACTGAAAACAAGCAAGACAGTAAGGCACAGGAGAAGAAAATAAAAGCAGGCTGAATCTCACATCATCTAAGACAGTTTCAGTATCCCTCCCCTCCCACATCCTGTACAAGGTTTCTGCCACATGTGTCTCACAACGGTGTAGTCCACTGGAGGTGATTACATCATGAGAAGATTGCTCAAGGTAATGAGGAAGCCTTCAGAGAAGATAGACCAACAAGTCTCTACAGCCAAACATGCACTTTGACTCTCTCTACTGCGTGCTGGCCCTTTTCTTCTGGACCACAGGTAAGCTCCTGTTTTGACGCAGGTTGTATACCAGCTTCAGCAGGTTCTCTTCCATCTGCAACAGTAGACTTCCTTCTGGACTTATCTTCAGTTCCTGTCTCCTTCCTCCACAGGCTCCATGGATACTGAGGTCATCCAGAATCCTAGATACCTGGTCAAAGGGAAAGAACAGAAAGCCAAAATGGACTGCACCGGCATAAAAGGACACAGTTATATTTATTGGTACCACAAGAAGCTGGGCGAAGAACTCAGGTTTTTGGTTTACTTTCAGAACGCAGACATCATAGATAAGACAGATAAGATCGGTAAAAACATTTCAGCCAAATGCCCCCGAGGCTTGCCGTGTACCCTAGAGATCCAGTCCAGCGAGCTCGCAGATTCGGCTGTGTACTTCTGCGCGAGCAGTCAATCCACAGTGCTGACTACTGGCTTTTCTTAGAAACGCAAACTCACGTTAGGACCCTGCTCAGGAAACCAGGGCTACATGAGCTTGTTGAGACCTAGCAGAAACACGGTGTGAAGGGGTACGAGCCGGAAGGAAAATCTGTAAGTGATGGATCTAGGTGAGCTGAACAAACAAACAACAGAAAGTTTGATGGAGACAGAAGTTCAGGGGAGGGCAAGGAGAGTGTAAAGGGACCTACCTTCTAGAATGTGTTGAATGTCAGGCAAGATTAACCTGGTTCATTGATTTTATTTCCTCTCCCTGCCTCTGATTGATGAATCTCCATCAAACGTGATTATACCTTTGTTCTTTCGTCTGGTGAGGCTGCATGCTGCGGAATAAGAGACAAACACGTCGGCACGGCTTTTACATGGAACCCCATGATTTGGGCCAGACTCGCTTCTCAAAGCTGCTCCCTTGCCACAGAAACCTGTCTAAGAATTGCATCAGCTCCTGTCCTCTGTAATTCTAAACCACATAGTTTTAAAAAGCAACACTATCAACAAACATATACCCTAAAACATCCCCTTTGGAGTATGTATTTCTACAAATTTTGATTTTTTTTTACATACAAGTAACCACATCACATTGAGATAAAGAATATTTTCAGTTTGTATAAACTTTCCCCAGCATTTCTTTGTTGAAGTCTTTGATATTAACAATAAACCCTCAGTATTGAATTGCCATTTTTATTATGTAGATATTCTGCATCTTTTGTTAAAATTTTCTGAATGCATTTTTATTTTATTGATACAGAATCTCATTATTTAGTTTATTCTGGCTTGAATTCTCAATCCTCCTGCCTCAGTTCCCGAATTCTATGATCACAAACATAAATTATCACACCTAGACTCTAAACTTATTTTTAAACTAAGTTAAGCTTAATTTAATAAATTATTTTATTTTATAATATCCAACAGAAACATATTTAGTAAATCATTTCTGCAAGGAATTGACATGAGGTTAGTTCAGCATAGTTTTTATACTTTTCAGTTGATACCTCCCCTTCAGCATATTACGTTAAAAACCTTCCAAATTACAGAGTTGTGAATATGATCAAAATATGTTTAATCCATGTATAAAACTATCAAAATAAAGCCCACAATTTCACAATGGGTGTGTTCATAAAGCAAGTGCCTTCTACAACATCTGCGGCTTCAAGCAAACCCGTGTGAGCTCATGATATCAGCTGTCTTTCACATGAATCAACGATTTGCTATTCTGCTTTAAGACAGGCAGTGTTTTCTAACCTGTCGGAAAGCTTGTAAAACTTACGCAAGGTGCTCACCAAGAAGTGTATTTTGCTCATGAAAACAAACTTCCAAGTTAGGAATAAAAGGAGCCCATCTGGGGAGGCATGTGACGCAGCGTGAAGAATGAGGATGTTTCATCTTGATTAGTCCAGTCTGTGCATTACTGGGGGCAACATTCATGGTGCCTGCAATCCTCTGTCACAGATAAGATGCTGGGACCTGGGTTCCAGAAGGGCTAATTCCCACTCTCCCACAGTTTCACTGTGGACTTAGCATGCTCTAAAATTAGTTCATTAGTTCAATAATATGCAAGCATTCAGATGGACAATTATCACAAAGGAAAGATGAGGTAGAGGTATCAGCTGAGCAGTATAAAGACTATAGTAGCAGCAGCAGTAATAATAATAATAAACCTGATATCAAGTCTTTGTAGAAATAATATGCTAAATAGATGTCTTATGGTACATAGTCTGATAGCATATGGGACGAAGAATTCAATACTGCAGCATTCTTCATGATTTACTCTTTTGAAGTATGACATTGTTTATAATGAATACAGCAAAGGCTTATAATCCAGTAGAACTGTCCACACTTCTCTCAAAAATACTAATGTGTGAATTGCCATACCATATCACTGAGTTCTAAGTCAAACTTGAAATCAGTAGCACATACTACTACTGATATTTAATTATGTATTTATTAATCCATTTACTTACTTACCTATTTGGTTTTTCAAAACAGAGTTTCTCTGTGTTGTTTTGGAGGCTGTCCTGGACCTCGCTCTGTAGACCAGGCTGGCCTTGAACTCACAGAGGTCTGCCTGCCTCGCCTCCAGAGTGCTGGGATTAAAGGTATATGTCACCACTGCCAAACTCAAATTTCTTTTTTTGGTGTTTTGAGACAGGGTTTCTCTGTGGCTTTGTTGACTGTCCTGGAACTAGCTCTTGTAGACCAGGCTGGTCTCGAACTCACAGAGATCTGTCTGCCTCTGCCTCCCGAGTGCTGGGATTAAAGCATGTGCCACCACCGCCCAGCTTCAAATAAGTTTTTAAAGAAAGTGTCTCATTGTGTAATCTTGGCTGTTCTAGAACTCTCTAGTAGACAAGACCGTCTGTCCTTAAACTCATAGGGACACTCCTGCCTCTGTCTCCTGATGCTGGGACTGCAAGGGAATATACTAAAGACATATATATTAATATAGTAAATATATATACATATATATTTCAGTGGTTCTGATTAGGAATATTCTTGCTGATTAGAGGATTTCTTAATGCACCATTTCAGTTTTTGATCCTTGAGATTATGTGCTATCATATTGCAGTGCACTGATGCTCCTCAGAATCACATACAGAGACATGGCGATGATGATGGTACGGGTGAAGAGAAGTGTGTCTGATAGCAAATATACCATGCAGAAGGACTGATTGTGGAAATTTTCTTAAGTTCCCAACACCAGCGTACAATTTTGGTAAATGCTTATTATATCTGAAGTCTACAAGTCAGTAAGAAGGAATGGTTACTGCTACCCTTGGACAATGCTGGGTATTAGACATCTGTACAATACATTTTGGAAGATATACAAGCATCCTAATATTTCCTGTGCATGACTTCAAGTGTGAATCATAATCTTTCCTAAGGGAGAAATGTTTATCCCTTGACCACAGGGCCTCTAAGAGCTACACAGATAAAAGTTAGAGAATGTAAGGATCTCTGAATAGAAAAATACATCTTTATTTTCACTGATGCCTTAACCAAAACACATCATTTCCCTCCACAATAAAGTAATAATGGTTTTGGTTATATCTCTGGCAAACTATAATGTAAATCACACTCATTTTTATTTGAATATATATTGCACACATTACAGGGATTTGAAAGTCAAATTTTTTCTTACATTGCATTACACAGGATAAACATCATTTGCCTTCATCATTGTTTTGAAATCACGGCAGTTTTCAGATTAATCAGCGTATGTTTTATTCATTTGATTTGAAGGTGCCTACACATTAATACATCATACAGTTTTAAGTGATGTTTTGATATCTGCATTTGAAAAGAGTTGGTTTCATTGGTAATATTATGAATTTCACTTTACACCTTTAACTACTCTCAAATGGGGTCCTTGGGGCTTGCCAGACTGACAAAAAATAATGAAGAGGCCCTTCTAAGGGATGAGGCCCCCACCACCGCGCTGTGATTGGAAGGCTAAAGCTAAGACTTAGACACTGTGAGGGATGCAGCTGTTCTTCACTGAGTGTTAGCATTCCCATTCCTTCCCTCCTTCCTCCCCACCCCCACTTCCTACCCCTGTCCTTTTCCTTGTAATTAACTTCCCCTCTTGGCCAGCAGGTGTCACCAACAACTACAAGACCATTGTGTTCCGAGCAGATTTTTCTGAAAGCATTATACCTTGCATGACAGGTGACCTTGAACGAAATACAAATGAACATTTATTAGCAGATTAACTTCATTTGTTAAGCAGTTATTAGCATTCTTTCGCTTACCTCAGACTCTTGGGAAGAACCTATTTTATACAACAGATTTACACTTGTATGAATTCTAATTCAGATTCAGCGCTGGGAAATATTTTAATTGGCAGGTAAAACCCCATGTCGATAAGTGTCTGATTCCTCTTGACATGGCATTAAATTCTTAACGCTTTTTTGATTAGAATACCAGATCCTAAAATTAACAATAACAAACATAAATATGGTGTTTCTTTTGGACTAAGGACTACTCCAAATTCTCTATGTTATTTTGAGATAGATACTCATTATTGCTTATTAGAGAAGAGAACATTAAATCGGAGTGAGGTCAAATAATGTTACAAAGGATGCTTGGCTGATAAATGGCATAGGTGGGATTTGGGCCTCCCCTACCTCCCAATGCTCAGCTTTAATCTAGTGAGGGGAGCTAAGGGCCTTCTGCAGTTGCTAAGCTTCCAGAAGCGGTCCCACTACATTTACCATATTATGGTAATGTATGGATAAAACAGCCTTTGCAAAGAAAAATGAGGACATCTGAACTACTCCTTGTGTGTGGGTTTCTTCATCTCCACAGTGGGAATGAGAGGGGTCAGGCCTGAGAGGGGCAGGTGTTTACCTTCCCAGCTGTAACCACAGCCACCACGCATGACGTTCTGGATGTGACTTTGGACAGGAAATGCAGTGTACCAGTTTGTCCCATTTTGCTATTTAGAAGGAATATGAACAGCTTCCAGAAGAAAAAGTGCATGAGACTGGACCTTCCTTGATCTTTGTCTCGCAATCAGAAAGAATAGTTGTGACAGTTGTTACGTATCGATGATGACTTCTATGCACTGCTGTGGGGGACTGATGGGGAAGTCCTGTGTATGTGTCAATAAAGCACTGTTGGCCAATAGGGAAGCAAGATAGGTGGGACTAGGAGCCGAGGAGGACTCTGGGAAGGAGAAACACAGGGAGTCACAGTGTAGCCTCCAGAGGAGTAAAAGGCCCGGACCCTTTCTCCAGTAAGAGAAATACTTAGAATAAAAATTATGGAGTAAATACTTAAGTCACAGATAGCCAGTAAGAAACCAAGCAAACTGCCAACAGCTTCATAATTAATACAGTGTCTTGTGTGTTATTTGGGGACTACAACGCGGCAGAGCCCAGGCAACTGGTGGGGAAAAACCAAAGCAGCTGGCAAGGAAACGGCTTCATCCTATGGGGACACTTGCCTTTTCATGTCTGAGAGCCTATATGATTGGAGCTTCAGAGAGATTTTATTTTTGTCATTGAAAGTGGAAATTGTAGCATTTGCCTTGTGATCTTTTGACTCTTGGTTGTAGGTGGGTCTGCATTGAACACACAGTAAAGTCCTTTCTTGGGTTTGCAGGGTCTCTGCCTCACATCTTCTCTCAATAGCTCCAGGCTTCCTTCTGCAGTTCTCAGTCCTTGTCTCTTGCCAGCCGGATCCTTAGATGCTACAGTCTTTCAGAAACCATTACTATCTAGTGGAACTTGACAGGATTGACTCTGGAGCACCAACAGAACCGGTATACAGTGCCATGTACCAGCAGGACCCAGAGAAAGGACTGAAATTGGGTTTTGCTCAATAGTTGAAAAAGATGCCCAGAGAGGAGATATAAAGGAAGGCTACAGTATTTCCCTAAAAGAGAAAGAGCTCTTTCCTCTATCATGACATTGACCCAAACCAACAAAATAGCTGTGTATCTCTGTTCTGCTAGTACTCCGCAGTGGCACAGGACAATCCCCTTCATGCACCAAATTCTGCAGTCCTCTCTGCTAACATATGCTCATTTATTTTATTTTCCTACTAGCTATTATTCCTTACTCTCTCTGATTAATTCTCATTTAACACTCTTGAGAACAGTTACACAAGATCCATTTTTGTTCTTGAGATTTTTACTCTGTTGTGCTACTTTTCCAAACACTGAAGGTTAACAGACTAGTAAACAGATTTCTTTACAGAGTTAATAATCCAGTGAGTACATAATTATAACGGAATTTAACAAGATTGAGTATAAAGCAGTAGTAAAATAGGATTCTAATTGGACTTGCTTGGGAGGTCAGGGCACATGCCCTTGGTTTTTCTCCAGTTAGATAAGAAAAAGCTAAAAGTAGACCATATTTGAACTTTTCAAGTTTATCCTGGTCTTGAGCAGAATATGATGGACAAGAGGAACAACTTCCACAAAAGCCTACTAAAGAAAGCAACACTTGAGGTGGAATTATCAAGGTGGAAGATGACATGTTATATCCAATAGGATAAGTTTAAGAAAGTAAACTAAATATGGGTATTTTTTTGTAAATTTGAGTTTCTGATTCTGTGCATATGAGTTGATTTCCCTGGAGGTTTTCCTCAAAAGAGACAGGCTATCAACACAATCACTTTGGACTTTTTTCTCTGTGCTTTGGTTCTGTGCAAAGACAAAAGTTTAAAATGAAACAGGATCTTGTCAACACTAGCAATTCTCATTAGGGATAAAAGGTTCTTGACAGTTTATGGGACACTGGGTGAAAACATTAGTAGGCTGTTCATCATCCCAATGCGAATGAAATATAACTAGATTCTACAGAAGTCAGTGTATAAAGGATCAGACTATGTGTACAGAAATTTCACCAAAAATATAAATATAGACAACAGAGAAAAAAGTCCTTGGAAAAACAAACTATACTTTTATGGTAACTTAGGAAAATTAAAGTAATCCGAGAGCTGGAAAATACAAGAATAAAGGAAGAGGAACCAATGTTTGATATTCCTAAGAAAGTGAGGAAAAACAGAATGGTCCCAGAATTCATCAAAGGTTTGTCTTGGGAGCAGATGGAACTGTAATAACATGTTGTATGTTAGTTTACACTGGTGAGTAGGACCTTTTAATAGTTTCTTTAGGCTGTGTTCAGAAAGACATGAGCTATAGGTCACACACGCATATGCACGCTCATGTGTGTGTGCCCACACACACACACACACACACACACACGTTCACACACTGTAAAGCTCAATGGATGAAAATGAATCCGTTTCCATAGTCTGATCTGACATAGAGCATGAGGGCATAGGACATGCTGAGAGGCCATTGAAGAGGAAGTGATTAGACACATGACACCTTTCCTAAACATTGCTTCATGGGACTCGGGTGTGCTTAAATCAGTAGTATATTTAGAAAATCAAATAAAAGCAGATTAAAAATTTACAAAAATTGATCAAAAAGTACCAGATTGAAAGCAGGGGCTGTCTCTGACTCTCTGTTGCCTGCTTTTTGGACCCATTTCCTCCTATTTGGTTGCCTCCTCCGGTCTTGATATGAGGGTACATGCCCTTTTCTGCTCTTTTCTGAAGGGAAACAGAGGAGAAGTAGATCTTGGGGAGAAAGGAAATGTGGAGGTTAGGAGGAGGGAGGGGAGACTGCACTTGGGAGATTTGTATGAGAGAAGAATACAAGTTTTGAAGAAGCAGAAAAGTAATAAAGAATACGACACATTTGAAAAATTCGCAAAATGCAGAAGTGAGTATCTCACAAGAGAACTTGAACAAATGTGGGAACACCATTAGATTTTGTAGGTATACAGAAGAAATACAAACCAGGAATCTAATAAGCTATACACAAACAAGAATGGCTAAGAAGAAGAAAGATATACAAAATACATTCGAGGCCCGACTTCATTGGGATGCTATCTTGAATCATTGGATCGGATGTGGGTTGATCAGCTATCCATTTTGTAAACCAATTTGACATTTTCTCGTAAAGTCACAGATGTGAACACGCACCATCTGTTGATCCTACTTCTGATAAATTATTTCCTTTCTTGTGAGAATAACACAAGAATACTCAGTTAACATTGCTTATAATAACAAAGCATTATGGAAACCCCATTTTATAGTCAATGTACACCCTAAGTGTACATTTACTATAAAATGGGAAAATATATAATGGCAATTTGCATAGAGACATGAAATGAAAGCGAAAATTAACTAAGACTTGGCACATGAGTATGATAACATTTTACAAATTATAATGAAAACTACATTGCAGGATGTGAATAACACTTTCCTGTTCAAAAAGTCTAATGTTGTATAAAAACCAAGCATTAGCCTGCTATCATGCAGTAAAATATAGAGGAGATATAATGAAAAGTGTTGCACACAGCCAGGCATAGTTATGCATGCCTGCTGTCCCAGTACTTGGAAGATGGAGTCAAGAGTCAAGAGAACCAAGGTCATCCTCAGCTCCATATTGAGTTTGATCTTGAGGACAGTCTGAGCTTATGGACACTATCTCACAAAACCAAAACTGACAAAGGGCAGTTCTCAGCATAAACTTCAATGGTATTTGAAAACAGAGAACAGGTATCCTGAAAACAGATGCAGGAAAAGAAACAAGAGCTTTTAGAAATCTAGGTGACTGTTTCCAAACCCAGATTAACTACTTGAGTGTTTACACTGTTAGTGTGTTATCAAACTTTGATCAATATATTCAGTATCAGTTTAGAAGGTGGAGGGACCTTCAATTGAATCAGTAAGGAAAGATTCATGGAAATACATACATCAGGCTATGAACCCATTCTCCTAGAACGAAGATGGAAGGAAGGAGAAAATAAAGACAAAAAAAATCACGTAGTGTACACCTTAAACTAAACAGTGAATACAAACTCAGGCAAGAAAAGTTGAGGTTAGCTAAATCAAACCCTAGGAAATGAACGAGTTAAAAGACAAAAGAAAATAACAGCAGGAATAAGTATTTTCAAAGTAGTGGTCAGTAACAAAATTATAAAACAGCAGTGACAATAGGGATCAATTACACACAGTTAACTACATGATAAGTAGCCAGAAACATTGTCCATCTGTGAGACAGAAACCAATGTACACATTAATGAGAAAGGATACTTATGAGCCAATTGAGAAACGCTAAACATAAATTAAATGACACATAAAATAAATGTACATTGATAGGGAAGGATAATAATTAGCTAAAAGGGGGCTATAACGTAGCAATTAGCAATTAAAGACCATTTAGTAAAATGTACTGTGTCTCTGTACATATATGTACATATGAAGATAAGCATGCTTGTAGAGATGTATATATGTTTATGAAAAGGGGCACTGAGACAGAGAACATCAGAGATTGTCACTAGTGAACAGTCTTGTCATGGTCTAGTAGTCTTAGGATGTTTTGTGCTGTAACTTTTATTTTATTTTATTTTTACTTTTATGTACTTTTAAATCACTGTGTCTGGTATATTTTTTTAAATTTCATTTTATATTCTAGCCACAGTTCTCCCTCCCATACCTTCCCCATGCCCCCAAGGAGGCGGCTTATTTTATTTTTAGTTGTCTAAAATATATATGAGTTGTTCATGCTAGTAAAAACATAAATTTATTCACTGTGTCAAAATTTTCCTTCTGTACTATGAAATGTGTCAGCAATGTGTCTGTAAATGACAGCTATGAATCTGAAAAGCAATGATGTCACAGGAAGGTTGCTGACAAGGTCTAGAGCCTTCTTCTGCTAGTCAATGAAACCATGAACACGAGGCTTCTCTGCTGTGTAGCCCTTTGTCTCCTGGGAGCAGGTGACTCCTGGTTTTGGGATTCCTGACAAAAGCTCCAATCCTTGTTCATTGTCAAGATTCCTCCTGGGTCACTTGGACTTTTTCATACTTCCTGTTTTTTTTTTTCTTACAGGCTCTTCGGATGGACAAGTTATCCAGACTCCGCAACATCTGTTCAAAGGGAAAGGACAGAAAGCAAAGATGAACTGTACACCTGAAAATGGACATACTTTTGTCTACTGGTACCAACAGAAGCAGAGCAAAGAGTTACAGTTTTTGATTTCTTTCCAACGCCAAGAAGTTCGTGAAAATACAGACTTGGTCAAGGAGCGATTCTTAGCTGATTGTCCCTTAAACTCACCCTGCAGCCTAGAAATCCAGTCCTCTGAAGCAGGAGACTCAGCTCTGTACCTCTGTGCCAGCAGTCTGACCACAGCCCTGAATTGTGCATTCTCCTCATTGCACAAACCCTCCATGGAGGCAACTCAGGAAGCAGGTGCTGGTCTGGGTTGGAAGGAAGTAACAAAGGAACTAGAGCCAGTGTCAACCACAGGAGGCTAGACAGTGTCTAGCAGAGGAAGGACGGCTTCACAGTCCTGAAAGGCAATGGGTCAGAACCGGGGTGAATGGTCTTCACACGGCATTCTCCTCTTTTCTTGACTTCGTCAATTTCTGCTTATACTTACTCCCTGTCTCTTTTCATGTCATACTCATGGTGAAAATTAGATGGTCGCCAGAGATCTCAAATTGACTTTCAACGTTCTACCATGCAGACAAAGATCAACCAGGCTCTTCCAGAGCCTGGGTTAAAGATCTCTAAAGAATATATATCCAGTAATGTGATTATTGGGAAATGAAGTATATATTGTATCCACAGAATATGAGAGGAATTTTGAAACTCACTACATTCTTAATGTAGAAGTTCGAAGCCTTTCTCCCAAACCTCATACCTCCCTATAATGTTTCCCACTGGCCTAGGATGACCAGTCAAGAAAATGAAGGAGATACCCCATATTTCTATGCAGATATCCAACCTGTTTCTTCTCAAAGGTGCACAATGCTCCCTCCATATCCATGTATTCCAAGAAATAAATAAACTTTCCTCCATGTCACTGACAGTATTGAAACCCTGGCACTAAACATGCTACAAAATGTTACAATGTACCAGGAGAACTGTATGGTCAGAAACATGAGGTTTGAGTCATGGACGCGTGTGGCTCACTTTATATATCTCGAAGGTTCCTCTCTCTTCACCCACCTAGCAGAGCACAGCATTTCTCCCATGTCCTCATGTCTGCTCCTAACACAACCCAGTGACTAGACAGAGCCAGTCAGTCATGGCAGGAGGTTCAGCAGATTCCACAATCTTTGACTTTATCAGATTGGTTTTATGATAAAGATGCAGGTGGTGATTTAAGAATAAATAAAATCAATAATTCAACAGAAAGGTAGAAGGGGAGAGATGGAATTGGTGGCTCTGGCTGATAATTGATGGTCTACGCAGCTGATTTTGACAGAGAAAGAAGAGAGACTGAGAGAGATAGAGAACACTAAAATACCACTATATTATAAAGAATATTATTAATGGGTTAAGTGTTTTAAGCATTACCTAACAGTGACATGATATTTTCAATTTGATACGTTATTGTACAGCTTCTTAAAATACAGACTTAGTGTTATAGCAGCAATATCAATGCAAAATTCTTTTAAATGAGTGAAATGTTAAAAAAATAATTGTATCTCCTGTTTACTGAAAAGCTCTTCAGAGGTCATGAACGGCTTCAGTGGTGATGTAAGAACTGAGGCTGCCAAAGATGACGTCACAGGGAGTCTAGTGATGAAGCTTGAAAACCCCACATCCTTTGCTGCTCCGTTGTGGCCATGTGTGCCTGGTTTATCTGCTGTGTATCACTTTGCCTCCTTCGGGCAGGTGAGAGCTAAGCTCATAAGATAAACTCTAGTTTACAGTTCACCAGCAACAGACCCGAATAGCCTTCCTTGTCAGAGTTGCTCCTGGCCGGTGTTCACGCTTTCTGTTTTATTTTCTTCTAGGCATTTTTGATGCTGCGGTCACTCAGACGCCAAGCCACCTGATCAAAATGGAAGGAGCAAAAGCAACGATGAAGTGTAACCCTGAAAAGGGGCACACTGCTGTTTTCTGGTACCAACAGAGGCAGAACAAAGAGTTAAACTTCCTGATTTACTTTCAGGGAGAGAGTCCCGTTGATCAAACAGACATGGTCAGGAAGCGATTCTCAGCTGAGTGTCCCTCAGACTCACCGTGCAGCCTGGAAATCACAACGTCTGAAGCTGGAGACTCTTCCCTGTTCTTTTGCGCCAGCAGTCAGTCCACAGCGCTGAAACGTCAGCTTCCCTCAGTTCACAAACCCACCACGGAGCCCGCTTTAAGATGCAGGTGATGCTCTGGGTTGGAAAGAAGCGAGAGAAACTGTCTGGAGGCAGCGTCGACCGCAGCAGACTTCACACAGGGTAGAGAGAGTTCAGAAGAGGCGCTTCAGAAACAGCACGTTCACACCAAGTCAGGAACGGCTGCTCCTCACGTTGTATTTCTCTCTCTGCTTTGTCTTTCTGGCCCTGCACAGTTCTTTCGTGTGGTCTTCATGGTGAGAACTGGGTGATCACCAAGATCGCAAAGCTGGCTGGCATCGTTTTGCCACTCTGAAAAGTCTACTTATGTCTGAGCCCATATTAAAAACACTAAGAAAAAGGGAGTTGGTAATGATCTAGTCATAGTTTTTTTTTTTGGTGAACATTTAACTCTGCTCACATATGTAGTATCTTAAGATCACATAATACAGTGTTGCTGATTGTATTTCCCCTGAGTTCAACATGGATGAAACACTTCATGTTTCTGTGTGCTTATTTAGTCTACTCCCTTCTAAAGGAAAGAAAATATTCAAAAATCTACTTTTTCCAGAAAGGAAATAAACCACCCAAAGCTTCACCTCCAGCATCGAAACCCTTGTGTATAACACATCATAGACTATTACAATAACTTCATAGTATCACATGTCCTGGCACGTAAGTGTTGGAACCTCAAGAATATTCACAGCTGATGGATGGTCTAGTCCCATAGTGAAGCACACAAACCTTCCTCTTATATCTTCACCTCCTCCTCTGGCATTATCCAGTGACCAGATTAAGCCACTGACAAGAGTTTCATTATGGTCCATAATCACTCTTGTTCTATCCCAAGACATCATCAGTTTTATGGTAAAGATGCAGATGGGCACTTAAGAATAGATAAGTAATGTCAATAATTTAATAGGAAACAATGATGGAGGAGATTTAAATGCATTGATGTATGTAGAGATGAGGACAAGGGAAAGCTGCTGTGCTGTTTTGAGCCTGTAATCACAATAATGGGGTGGCTGAGAGAGAGCATCACTAATGTACTAAGAAAGCAGAAGGGAGACTTGGGAGGCAAAAGGGGAAGGGAAAGCAAGTAGAGACAATGGTAATAATGTGATCAAAGTAATACACCCATACATATATCCATACATACATACGTACATACATATATACATATAATGACTTTATATGTAACGAGATTATGAAAGCCAGCATAAACACCATCTAGTGGTAGTATATTTTAATTCTGATATTCCTATAACTTTGCGACTTCACTGACTGAGAATGCATTGTTTGTGTTAGTAAAATACACATACACTGTTTTTCCATGATTAGCCAATGAGTTATATTTATGAAGGTGAGGAAAAGCTTTTCTTCTGATACTAGGCACTTCACCAGGGGTAGCACAGAGAAGTAGCATAGTTGAGTCTGCAGAGGATCATCACGTCACAGGAAGGTTGCAAACGGAACATGAGAACAGTGCATACTCCGCCTGCCCTAGTGTGGTCATGGGTGCAAGGCTGCTCTGCTGGGTAGCACTCTGTCTCCTAGGGACAGGTGAGTAATGAGTAAGAAAGGCTTTGCCTTCACGCTCCACACTACTTATCTGATTTTTTTACCTTGTCAGAGTCTCCCCTGGGATGTTCTCATTTTCTGTCTTCTCTTCTTCTAGGCTCCTTTGATGCCAAAGTAACCCAGAATCCAAGATATCTGGTCAAAGAGAAAGGACAGAGAGCAAATATGAGCTGCAACCCTGAAAAGGGTCACACTGCCTACTACTGGTATCAACAGAACCAAAACGGAGAGCTTAAACTTTTGATTAACTTTCGGAACGCAGACATTATTGAACAAACAGACGTGGTCAAGAAGCGATTCTCAGCTGAGTGTCCCTCAAATTCACCGTGCAGGCTGGACATCCAGTCCTCTGAAGCAGGAGACTCAGCTCTGTACCTCTGTGCCAGCAGTCAGGACACAGCGCTGAATTGTGTGTTCTCCTCATTGCACAAACCCCACTGCGGGCAGATCTCAGGAAGCAGGTGATGTCAGACTCTGGAAGAAAGAAACAGAAATTAACCAGAGCTGGCATCAACCGCAGCAGATTTCACACCAGGCTGGAGGATGTTTAGAGGCAATCGGGCAACAGGCTGACATCTCTGCAACGGACCTGTAGGTCGAGTTTGAGATAGCTGTTCTTCAATCCACATTGCTCCTCCACCCCCTCATGCTTGTCTTGGCCTGCCTGCCGTCACTCTCCTCTCACATAATGCTCTTGGCTGGAATAAGAGGGCCACTATAGCTGGTGGCGCATGCCTTTAAACTCAGGAGGCAGAGGCAGGCAGGTCTCTGTGAGTTCGAGACCAGCCTGGTCTAAAAGAACTAGTTCCAGGACAGCCTCCAAACCCACAGAGAAACCCTGTCTCGAAAAACCAAAGAACCAAAGAAGAAGAAGAAAAGGAGGAGGAGGAAGAGGAGGAGGAGAAGAAGAGGAAGAGGAGGAGGAAGAGGAAGAGGGGGAGGGGGAGGAAGAGGATGAGGAGGAGGAGGAGAAGAAGAAGAAGAAGAAGAAGAAGAAGAAGAAGAAGAAGAAGAAGAAGAAGAAGAAGAAGAAGAAGAAGAAGAAGAAGAAGAAGAAGAAGAAGGTCAACAGGTCAACTTCCTTTGGCATCTCTCTATCCCATTGATGCTTAATATCATTTTTTTTTAAATTTGTACTTGAGGTTTAGTTTTTAAAAAGTAAGTGTGTGCGTGTGTGTGTGTGTGTGTGTGTGTGTGTGTGTGTGTGTGTGTGTACATTTGAGTGCAGACGCCCATGGAGTTCAGAAGAGGGGATCGAATCTCCTAGAGCCTGAGTTACAGTTATGAGCCACTGATGTGATTACTGGGCTATGAATTTGTGTCCTCTCCTGGAGCCATGAGCCCTTAGCTGCTGATCGTCTGTCTCTCTAGCCTCCTGAGCTTGAGTTTAAAGCTCAAGAGAAAGAAACTCGTTTTGATGGCGCAGCCATCATCTTCTCGAGGAGAACCCTGCTCTGGCACATCTGTGTGTACTGGAAGTCATTCAGTTGGTAGTTTATTACTGATGAAGTTCTGGCACTCCATTCCTCTTCAAAGCATAAAGTGAGCAAAGCCCTGCTCTACAGGTTGTGCAGTCTTCCTCTTCCAGTGACCCAAAAGCACTCAGCGTCCTTTTCTTCTGGAAAAGAAAACACATTTCTCCCGGTCTTCTGCCCATATTGAAGACACGCATATGGAGAATTTCATGTCGTTGTCATGTGCCTTTATAATCACGTTATTGCATTATATTCCCAGAGTCATGATTATTGATACTCAGAGGGATACTTTATATTATTTTGTTTTATTTATTGACATGTCACTAGAGAGTGCTTGAAAATTACTGTATAATCTGAAATCTCATTTTAAAATACATCAGGGTTCCCTTTTAGCCTCGTATCTCCCCATGAAATTATCTAGTTATCTAGATTAAGGCAGCTTTACAGTGCCCTTTCCCAAGACATCATTGGTTTTATCATAAAATATAGATGAGAACTTAAGAAGCAATAAAGCAAGTTTTTAATAGAAAAACTGCACAAATAAAAGAAATACCATGATGCGTGATATCCAATGCCTGTAACCCCTGCAACTGGCATGCAATGGGCTTATGGAGGACAGATAAATCACAATTTAAAGTCTAGCATGGCCTAGAGAGAGAGAGAGAGAGAGAGAGAGAGAGAGAGAGAGAGAGAGAGAGAGAGAGCAAAGAGTGTCACCAATGATGACATTGTTAGCAGTATACTGTTGTATTTACATATTTGTTGTATAACTTAAAATATACACCATTGTACATTTTAGAAGTCAGCATAAAATGTTTTGTTCGAGGCCAGCCTGGTCTACAGAGCGAGTTCCAGGACAGCCTCCAAAGCCACAGTGAAACCCTGTCTCGAAAAACCAAAAAAAAAATGTTTTGCAAAGTATGTGATATGCAGCTGTATTTGCTAACTTTGTGCCAATGATCAGGTACATGACAATTGTGAGTCTGTGTGGAGCACGCCACAGGAAAGCTGCTAATGCAGTATGAGACCCTCATCCTTTTCTCAGCTCTAAGGCATCCCAGCTGCAAGGGTCCTCTGCTGCACAGTCCCCGGTCTCCTGGGGGCAGGTGAGTCATCAGGAGACAAGGGCAGTCCTTGTCCTGAGATTGCTACCTACACAGTCATGACTTTCTTTGCCTGTGCCCTTTTTGGTTCACACTCAGTCTTCTGTTTGCTTCTCTTCCAGGTTGTCTTGATGCCAAAGTTATACAGATTCCAGCCATCTGGTCAAGAGGAAAGGACAGACAGAAAAGATGAGCTGTAGTCCTGGGGAAAAAAAGGGTCACATTACTGCTTTCTGGTATCAGCAGGACCAGAACAAAGAATTCCAGTTTATTGTGTACTTACAGAAATTAAGAAGTTCTTCAACAAATAGATATGGTCAGTGAGGGATTGTCAACTGAATGTCCCTGCCAAACCTTAGAAGAGATTCTGTGCAGTTTTCTGTGCCGGCATTCAGTTCAAAGAGATGAAATGTGCAATCCCCTTTGTGTACAAAGCCTAGGTGGAGCCAACTCAGGAAGCATGGGATGCTCTTGAAGGGGATAAAAGAAACTACCTGGAGTTGACGCCAGTGGCTGAGAGCTTTGCTTCTCTCAAGTCTTAGACAGCAAGGACTGATAGGCTGAGAATTCTAAAATTTTTTTCATTTCACAAATTTCTCCTCCTTTTTGTCCCTTATTATTTTATCATTCTACCTGTATAAATTTTCCTTTAATCCAGTACTGACGGCAATGATAAAATCATCATCAAGATCACAAATAAACCACATATTACTCTACCGTGCTGATAAATATCAGACTGTCCACAAAAAGAGACATGGAGACCAATGAATAGAACAGAGCATCCAGAAATAAACCTACCCATTTATAACCTCCTAACCTTTGAAAAAGACATGACAATTATGAACAAAAAAGTGATAGCCCTTTTAATAAATGGTGCTCAGAAAACTGAATACCACATGTAAAAGAATGAAACAAGGTACCTATCTCTCTCTTTCTGCCGAAAATCAATTCAAAATCAATCAAAGACCTCAATGTAATGTCTGGAATACTTAAACTACTAGAGGAAAAGAGAAGTAAAATTCTTCAAGATACAGATTCAGGAAAGGCCTTTCTGAAGGAGAATTCTAACAACATAGCAAGTAATCCCATGGATGTCACTTGTCCCCCTCCCAACTATCTTTCTTTTGTATTCCATTTTTGTGGTAAGAGCTAGATGGTCATCAAACACCATGCATTTCCATGGTGTCATTCTACCAGGCTAATAAGTGTCGGTATGGATCTATCTGAGCCAGAGCCCAAACATCTCAAGAAGAAAAATAACACGCACCAACTCAGCGACGTCTTTGTCAAGGGACACCCGTTTTTGGCTGCATGCCAATATATTCTAAAGTTGTGCGATTATTACTCTTATTAATGATTTCAGTCTGCTGCCTCCATTTCATTCACCCCCGGACTCAAAGTAAGTGGAACTCTGCGTTTTTTGTGTGTGATCGTCTAGTCTGTTCCTCCTAAATAGTTCACATCATTGTACTCAAACTTCTCATGTAACAACTTCAGTCTTGTAAACCATCTGTAGTACTATATATATCAACTCAGCACCATGATTTCTAAGAGATGGAGATATTGACCTAATCCCTAGAGGACTCTTCTAAAATTCTAAAATTCCACTTTATGTTGTGTTAGGCTTTCTCATTTTCCTTCCTGACTCATGAAATCATCCTGTGGTCCAGACTGGGACAGTCTAGCAGTGTCAGTACACCATGTATTCCAGATGCTCATTTTCTCTGAAGACGTCATTTGATTATAAAATGTAGATGTGGGGTAAATAAAGTCAGATATGCCGTTGTAAAAATAACTGGCAAGTGCTAGAACGCTAAGGACGGGATATGAGAAATTTGAGTTCAATCTGGGCTAAATGGAAACACACACACACACACCCACACACACACACACACACGGGGCTGGGGGAAAATATGACCAAATGACTGATCATTACACTGTTAAGTAATATTACGAAGTTTTTATTTTGTTATTTTCTTTATAACTTTTTACAGTCTGGATTTTTATGATGTCAGTATGAAATAAGTTTAAATATATAAGCTATCACCCAGTCTATTTGATTACTTCATGTAAAATCTATCCTACTGACAGCACGAAGTAGTTCAGCAAATAATTAGTCGATTATGAGTCTGCAAAGGGATCATGTTGTAGGAAGGCTGCTGACGAGGAGTTAAAACTCTTCACCAGTTTCCTAACTGTAAGTCACCATGGGTTTCAGACTCCTCTACTGTGTAGCAATTTGTCTCCTGAAAGCGGCTAGGTCCTGAACACAAAAGGACAACCCTTGTCTTGAGACTGCCAATCATAGAACCAACCCCTTCTTAGTCAGGATCCCTCCTGTGTTCACCACTTCTATTTCCTCTTCTTGTTCATTTGACGTTGACATTACTCAGACTCCAAGACAAAGGGATAAGACAGAAAGAAAGATAAGCTGTAATTCTGAAAAGGGACACAATTTTGTTTGTTGGTAATAACAGAAAGAAACAAAGAGCTAAAACTTTTGATCCGTTTTCAGAGTCAACACGTTTTGGAACAAACAGACTTGGCCAAGGAGTGAGTCTCCAGAGTGTCCCTCCAACTCACTCTGCAGACTACAAATCCAGCCTTCAGAAGCAGGAGACTTGGCCCTGTACCTGAGCCAACAGTCTGTCCACAGCACTAAAATGTGCATTTTCCTTAGTTCACAAACAAGTCACAGACCCAACCCAGGAGGCAGATGATGTTGCGAATTGGAAATAAATAACAAAAATTAACCGAAGTAGTTCTGTGTGCTACAGCCTGCTTCACAGAATGCCAGAGTGTGTTCAGGAGCCAAAAGCTAACCACCCGATAGCTTTAAAACATCCTGAAGTCGGCACCTTCTTTCCAAGACGGGACTGGACCAAACTATGGGAGGGAGGATGGAGCTTCCCCCGTACCAGCTCAGGCTGTGCGCCGCTAGCATTTGTGAATTGTATTGTCGTAAGTCACAGGCTAAGAGAAACACACACACACACAAAACCCCGAGTCTGGAGAGGGAAGACTGCTTTCCACACGACAATATCTTTTCTTCCTTTGTCTGCAATGTGTTCTTCACCCCGGGCTCAGCATCTTCTACTTTCCCATAATGCTCACAGCAGGGATAAGATGGTGGCTAATGATTTCAGATTCTATTGGTATCATTTCCCCACCCGATAAAGGTCAGCCTGAGTCTTTCTCAGTTTGGATTTTAAATGCATAAAGGCAGAATCTATTTGTGATGTTCCCACTGTAGACTTCTTAGGGAATACCCAGCTCTGGTCACATTTGTATGTTTTTAAAGCCACATAGAAGTTATTTTATTGTGGATGCAACTCCTCTAGTTGGATTCTACCCTTAGATTCAAGGTGAGTGACAGTATTCCATGTGTCTATGCATGAAACCCTGACCCGATGCCTGGTTTTCCATATCCACTTGTTCCAGAAATGAAACCAATTTTCTATCAGTCTTCTGCCAACAGTAAAAATATCTGTAACAAAAATTTCATACACTTCACCATGTACCTTTATAATCACTCTATATTATGATATTCCCAGAATTTTGGCTACTGAGACATGGTGTGCTACCATGTCTTACATATTTCTTAATTATTTATTATGTCTTTATGTATTTGCCCATGTATCACTAGGTGACTACTCAAAATTACTGTGTAGGCTACTGGAAATGTTGAGTTGCTAAAATGCTTATCACATTATAAGAAGGACCTGAATCCAGAACCCACATTGAAAAAAAAAACTAGACACAGAGTTATATACTTATAGTCACAATGCTGATGAGTTGAGAACAGATGCATCCCAAGTGCATGGTAGCCAGCTCTCTGAAGAATCAGTGAACTCCTGATAAAAGCAAGAGACTCTCTCACTCCACCCCCTTCCCTCAAAAATAAAATGTTCAGGACAGGTTTTTCTGTATGCTGCAAAATATATTTTTCTCTTATTGGTTGATGAATAAATGCTGATTGGCCAGTAACCAGGTAGGAAATATATGCAGGGCTACCAGACTAGGAGAATTCTAAGAAGGCAGAGAGGGGATCACGAGGAGATGCCATGTAGCCACCAAAGGAGTAACATATCAGAGCACTACCAGTAATTCACAGCCTCGTGACAATAAATAGTTTAATATAACTGGGATAATAATTATGGGAGAGTTAGCCATCAAGAATCCTGAGCCATTGGCCAAACAGTTTATAATTAATATAGCCTCTGTGTGTTTATTTAGAACAGAATGGCTACAGGACAGGGTGGGACAGAAACTACTGCCTATAGACAGGTGTTATAGTTTGGTATATAAATATGTTCCTTTCTACCAAGGCTAGAGATCTAAGTTCCATTACTAGAACTTACATTGCAGAAGGAGAAAACTGACTCTTGAAAGTTGTCCTCTGACTTTCTCACACAAGCCATGGCACAAACATACATGCCCCCAACTCCAATACAAAACAAGTACAGGATTGAGGAAGACACATGTGTGATATTGCACTCTGCCCTGCATATGCAAGTATAATTACATGCATATGTACACATGAACACTTAGATACATATATATATATATATATATATATATATATATGTATATAAAGCTACTGGGCATATCAGGCTTTCCCCATTATCTTTATAACTTCTCTTGACTTGCAATCTACATTGAGATATCAATTTTTGCTTTCTCCAAAGGCATGATTGGTTTATAGATGATAACTTAAGAAATAAAAAATATGATAAAATTTATAGTAGAAAAGGATATTTGGAAGGATAGATACTGAGAGGAAAGAGAAGAACTTGGATATCATCATACATTCCTACAATACTAACAACTAGGGTGTCAAAGACTGAGGAGCAGAACAATGAGTTTTGGTTTGTATTTTGATTTTATTGGGTATATATATATATATATATATATATATATATATATATATACATATATAGTGTTATATTTATAAGAAACATTTAGGGATGTTGTTTATGTTATTGGAAATACAAAACATTTTCAGATATACTGGGCATTGAACCCAGGGCTTCATACATTCAAAGCAAGTACTTTATCACTGAAGCACATACAGTATTCTTGAAATTTTAGTTACTTAATTTAGAAACAATATTATTTTACACATCAATCACAGTTCCCTCTTCCTCCCATGCCTCCCACCAACACCCCCATCCAATCCCCCATCCATTCCCCAGGGAGG